AATTTTCTGCCTTAATTAAGTATAGATATCTACTTTGGAATGTTTAAAACCATCAGTATGTATATATTTTTAATTTCTCAAAATTTTAAGTTTTATAAATAGAATAAACTCAGCTAATATGGACCAGACTTTCTTTCCTCTGTACTGATTCACCTGCCATCTTTTGGAGAGCAATAGCATGACATATACTTTCATCCCCCTTTCCCCTGTATACTGTAAATGAATGCCACTCAATGAGAACATGGATGAGAGGCTTGATGTTTTTCGTGCCATTGAACTCTTGTTGGTTGTTGATACTGCAGCCCATATAACTGCTGAATGGATAAGTTGCCAAAGATCATAATTTTTTGGTTATTTGCTGTGCTGTTGTTCTTGATTATCCATGCAGTGTCAAAATTACATCTGCTGTTTGATTGGTGCTAAGAATTGGTATTAGAGTCTCAAGCTAGTGCAGGCAATATGGATCTTGGTGGGTATTATCAACAAGTTTTGCACTGCTGTAGTCCATATTACTAGACATGCTTGTGGTATTTCTTTTATTGTTTTTCGATTATTTCTTTCAAAACCAGAAGGAAAGAATAGTGCAACTCTAGTTATTCTGCCTCTACCTGGCTGGTGAGGAATGGATCAGTGTCAAAAGTACCAGTATTGGACACATCTTTGAAATATGTGCTGGTGCAGAAGGAAGAATCTATGAATTTTGTACAAAATAATTTTCTATCTGTTTCTAGAAGTGTCCTTGTAATATGAATTACGTACAGGTAATATGGACCACAGTGGTTCATATTATTACCTGTACCTGTACTGTACATATATACCTTCACTTTTAAGTTTTTTGACATTATGGCTTTTTATGCTGAAACTAATGTAGATTAATAAAGATGCTCTTGTGATATCACTGGGTATCAGCTTTTGCACTTTGCATCATAATGTTAGTTCAATTGTAGTTTGATCTATTACATCTAGGTAACCTAGAAGTAATAGAAAAAAGACACCATAGTGGGCCATATTAGCTGCATTTACTCTATATTCAAACAGAAAAAGTATAATTAATAAATTTTTTTGTTTTATATGCATGATGTCTTCCAATTAAATTTCAGATATTAAAAAAATAAAATTGCAAAATAAAAATTTGGAAAGACTACAAATTTTTAATTTTAAAAAATTAAGAAATCTTCCAAAATAACAAATATTAGCCTACTATATTAATTAGTAATGAAATGCAATAATTTCATAAATATCTTAGGTTAAATATCTTAAATTACAAGAAAATTCTAATTATTCATGAAAAAATTTTTCATAAACATTTTAAATTATAATTTTTGTCACTGAATTCAACCATCACTGAATTCACTATGTCCAATTCATGACACTGTGTTGTCTCTATCATTCACTATGGCTGCTACAAAACTAAGTATTCTCATTGCCAGAAAAAAATCCAGCTTTAAAGAAATAACTCTTGATTGTTGATAGCAAAAATCTGTCTCCAAACACTTAAAATCCATGAAATGGCTTGGAAGACATTGAATTGTTTTGTTAGTATTTCAAGCATCATTTAAAATGCTGACCAACTCAAACAGGTCATTTGTGACTAAACCAGAATAAAGAATAAGGTCAGTAGTTTACATGAAGATATATCTTGCTTATGACATATTCAACTAATAAATGCAATTCTCTATTGTTGATTGGCTATTTTAAAAAATTTCAGTTCATCATCAGTAATATGAGAATATGAAATGAGAAAGAAGGTGAAAAGTGCACAGGATGAGTTATGACAATTGTGGAACTGAGTGAATGTTCACAGAAGTGTATTTGACCTCATCAGTGTAATATACATTAGTGCATTGAAAAATGTTTCTTCTAATTAGTCATAAGGTGCTCATGCTTCTTTGCAGATTAATGTGAACAAAGACACTAAGCAAACTCCTACAACAGCAAGTTAGCCAACATAGAAATTTTACTGTCATAATAAAACTGTGCAATTAAATTGATTTTAAGAACTAAACAGGGAATACAGTATTGAGTTTTTGGAACTATTGAACTGTATCCACAGAAATACCAAACAAAGAAGTCAACTCAATGAGAATCTACTGTGTCTATTAAGACAAGTCAAGACATTAACCATGGTGCATTTCATGTATCTGATCTGTAATGAAGTATCCACTTAAGAGAGATAAGTTGTAAATACAAAGTTACAACTTACTTTTTTATACTGGACCACAAAAATTGTCTATTATGGAGGGGTGTTTCTTTAGAAAGGTGTCTGATAAGCAAGGTTTCACTGTATATATTGATTTACATGTTCCAAATAATGAAAGTTTTATATAATAATTGAAGAAATTATTTAGATAAAAAAATTATTATGTTTTAATATATAACTACATTCAATATCCTGTATTCTGAAGATAAAAAACTAAAACAAAATTAGAAATTAAAGTTTATTTTAATCAGCAGTGCCTATATACTATAAAAAAAGCAGCACAAACAATAAAAAAGGGCATCATACATATGATAAAAGTTTCAAACTTTGATTTAAGATTGGATCAGTGCTCCCATAAGGTTGCACTGGTTGCAGTTAGGGTTCCTGTGTCTATTAAGACAAGTCAAGCCTTGAAAAATTGGCCTTGAAAACAAGGAACATTCCTTGTTTTTAAAGCCAAGTTTTGGTCAACATACAAGGAAGTTACATGGGACAAGGGACAAATGTTATTCATTTCTTTTATATTTGCAAAATAGGTGAGAAGCTATGAATTTTCTGTTGTTTATTGATAATGCAATTTTTGGCCCTCTTGGAATTAGGAAAAGGGCAACCCAGACATAAAGGGGCATGTGTTCCAAGTGCCCAATGAATGGGCACCCCTGATTTTTAATTATTGATGTTTTAGAAATTAAAGTTTATTTGTGTAAATGTTTTTGGATGAGGCTACTTCATTTCCAAATTCATCCAAAACAAATTTCACATTAGAATGATGAGCAGAACAGTTTTAATTTGGTTAAATTAAGAATAATGCTGAAATTTCATATTTCATAATTATACAAAAATTTTTTATATTGATTAAAGAATCCATAAAATTTTTTAAAGCATTTAGTTTTATTTCTTTTTAGTTAGGTGGACTATCATTTGCAGTCAAATCAGGGACACATTTCAGAATCAGTGAAAATGTGGTTCTAAAACTGACTGAACTTTGATTATTTTTAAAAAATGTATTTATTTATTAATCTATAAATTGATGATATTATATTGACATGTTAATAAAATTACTTTATTCAAAAATTTATTCTATAATTAAATATTAAAAACAGGCAAAACCAGGATCTGGTCACCCTATTTTTAGTTTAAATATGGAGTCATCTGAAAACTGTAAGTCACTTTTATTAAACTATTATACATTGTAATAAGCACTAAGCTACTGCATTTTATTTAACTTGATCATATAGTTAATATTTATAAAATAAATATAATTAAATATTCTACAGAAAAATTTTAGAATATTAAAAATATTTTGATACAATGAGATGCACATTATTCAGAAACTTAAAAACCTGTTTAATTGAAGATTTTAAATATTTTTGTGTAAAACATTGACTAGTTATTATTAAGCAATATAGTAACTCATCCAGAAAATTAGCAAAGAGTGCAACTAAAAATTTAAGAAGTATCAAATGCTTAAATAAAACTGCAATGCAAAAATACACAGATTACATTATATATTTTATTATATATAATTGATTTATAGCAATCAAATCTGTTATACAAATAACTGCAATGATATGGTCATTTCAAACTCAATATAATTATTAAGATTAACAAAGTATGTAAAGATAGGAAAAGATTAAAAAAAACCCAAAATTAAATGGACTGAAATCATTAACTGAAGATCTCAATTATAAACATACAACTTTCCAGATTGGCAAGAAAGAAAGCATGATGGGAATGTATATATATGAATGATATATATTTTTACTTTTTCCATACTAATAAGCATGGAAAAAATAAAATTAATAAATAACTAAAATAAGAATAAAATATAATGTAATAAATAACCAGAGCTCTGAAAATATCAATAAATGAAGTTTCTATAAAACATACAACTAAAGGCAATAGATAGTCAAAATTATGGGTGTTGAAAACAAGTAGTTTTTATTGTTCACTTTTAAGAAAAATGAGTTCTCTTAGAGAAGATATATATACTGTCATTACTTTAGTTTGTTTTAGAATTATATTGATTATAAGAGTATCAGGTTAATTGAATTGTATGCAATAATATGCAATACCAGAAAAATTTTAATCTTGCATAGGAAACTTATAAAAGTGACTAATACATATTGATTCTTCTGATGCATTTGTTATTACTGCTTTATAAATTCAATATGTTTGTTTTTACTCTTTCTGTCCTGTGGACACCAAAAGATCCTTTTTAATCAAGCCATTATGGTTTGGCCAGGCCCACAATGGGACAGCCAGCTCAACATATCCTAATTGGGTCAACTCTCAAGAAATTCCTGGGGTTTTTTGATCTGTCCAGATTTGTTCTCAGGTTTCTCAGAGCTGTAGTCTGACACCTTAATCACTCTGCCATCCAGCCATAACTTAATATATTAAATAATAACTAATTATAATTAGTAATAATAAACAAATGAGATGCTCTACAATAAATTGAATACTTCCAAAAATCTTTCAATTGTTTCACTGAATATAAAATATTTTTAAATGATTAAAAATTTTCTAGATAATTTTTATTTAATTTTAGTTAATTAAATCTTAGATAATTTTCAATAAAATTACTTATTAATAATGAAATAAATGTAAATTTTTAAATTGTATCTCAAAAGTGACTTTTTTTAACTTATAATTTATAGCATGAGTTCAATGAGCATTTAAATAAAAAAAATCAATTGATTAAGTAGCAGTTATTTGTTTTAAAACTAAATTACTGTATATTTTTTAATTTGTAATTTATGATATCATTTATTGTACAAAGAAATAGAATTTTACTCACTTTAATTACTGAAGTACCACTGGGAGCACCTTCTTCTACTTGTGGTGCATATGTTCCACATTCTTCAAAAACTGGTTTATTATCATTAACATCTGTTATAAATACAACTACAAGTGCTGTGCTTGTGTGGGTGGTATGTGCACCATTTTTACAACAACTACCATCATCTCTAGCTGTAACATTTAATTCATATTTATCTTTATCCAAATGGATAGGACCATTGATAAGACGTATTACACCTGAAAGTATTTGCAAGATATGATTAGTTCATAGTTAACAAAAACAACAATATTTATGTACAAGTCAAAGACTAACTAATAAAATCTGAAACAGTTTTTGATTTAGAAATTAAAAAATTTAAAGCGTAATTAGTGAAATGATTCATGTTAATGTTTATTATTAAATTAAACTACTGTAATTTAAATTAAATTTTTATATTTTTATACTTAAAATAAGTCTTTTTAAATACAGTAATACTCCAAACTTAAGTGATAAGTGGGACCGAGCAATAACCACGTAAGTCGAATTTGTGTAAGTTGGGATATAATTTCGCAATTTGTGTAAAATTCAAGTCGGATGTATGTAAGCTAATAAATGTTCTCGTTAATCTTATCTCATCTTTTAATTTGTTCACGGTTACAAGAAATCACCACATAGAGTTTCTCAAGTCTCCGTAGATATAACAAACACAGAAATAAATAACATAAAATAAACTGTAGCTATGTGTCAATTCCGCGCGACATGTCCGAACATGTAAGCTGAACAATAGTGTGGGGGAGTGAGTAATCAAGAGTTGCGTGGCGCTCAAACAAAAGACAAATCGACGAGATTTGAAAATCGCGTAACTCTGGGTTTGCTTAAGTCGAGGTATTACTGTATATTCAAACTGTCATTTCTAAATAAATTAATAATATAGGGTAATTGTAATTAAAGTTGTCCTATTCAGAAGAACTCTATAGCTCCAACCAATAAGCTAACTGACACCAAAATTTTTATACACACTTTGCAAAGGATGCAGAAAATAGTTTTGCAAAGAAAAATTCTAGTTCCAATTGTTAACTACAGGGTAAATGGTACTGCAAGCAAAGAAATGTGATATTTATAGCCACATGAAATGTAATCAAGACTGGGTATAAAAATGCTGACAACTAGTGAATGCCATTCTTATCAGTTACAATTATGATGGCCATCACTTTGCTAGAGCATGCATTAATTGTGAAGTGATGGCCATTGTAGCTGATAAGAATGGCATTCACAAAAGTCGGGGTAATGCTGCTATTGCTGTTTGTGAATAACATTGTTGTAACGGTGTTATTCACAAATAACAGTAGAACTTGTACATTGCAACAGTAGAACATTGTAGATCACTATCTTTACAGGCTGTCAGGAAAATGATAATATATTTTAAGACAACTGGATCTTTAGAAGTTCAACCTGACAGGGGACAAAAGCCTATTACTACCGAAACCATTGAAGATGTGACCATGATTGTTGTTGAACAGGCAATGGAGCCATTTGCAGCACCATTTACCCTATAACAGACAATTTTGGAACTAAAATTTTTCTTTGCAAAATCTTTTTCTGCATCATTTGAATATTGCTATGCAGATTTTGGTGTCAATCAGCTTAGTGGTTGTGCTACAGAGTCCTCTGAACAAGAAAACTTTAATTATAATCACTCAGTATAAAAAAATAATTTTATTTTAATTCTATTTCATAAAGTTTTTCAAAAATTCAACATTGATACAAATTTTCAAGAAATCTTTTATAAGAAAATTTACAAAACTGACTTGGCTATTGCATAGTAAACATGCTACAATGTGCTTATATTGTTGAGACAGATAAGTTAAATGATATGTTTGAAAATTTACAGCTTGATAATTATAAAAATGCAAAACATGATACTAAAAGTTTTACAGGGTAATTATTGCTCTCATGCAAAATAAAAGGAACAAAAGAATGCCATGCCTCATTATAAGCATAAAAGTCTAGAGATAGTTTTCTGGCCAAGAAGTCAGTTGTTAAATAAACCCATCCAAAAATGAGCACATGCCAATGCATACATTTTAAATTATGGTAACTGGGAGCATTCTCCCAACCCATGCAGATGTCAACAAATTAATAAAACTATGTAATTTCCATTTGGTTTAGACATTGGTAGACTAGACAAAGATTATTGGCATTGGAAATCATATCTTTACCACTTGTATTTAATACCTTGATAATTTTACTTCATTTATTGATGCTGCTGACATTAAAATCACACTTGTCATTTATTCATAACTTCCAGAAAATAAATATCAATTTGAAATCCTTCTGCTTTCTATTTTCTCATTACTTATGTGAATGAATGCTTCATTTTTCATAATTTTCTTATAACTGGTTCTTCTGCACTACTAATAACCATTAGATTTATCTTTATAATGAGGTGTGGTATTTATTGCATAAGAACCATAATTCACCCTGTATAATATCAATTGAAAGATAGAATACTAAAGAATGATGAATAAAATAAATAAATCATGCAATTTAAAAATTTTTAAATTTAAATAACAACTGAGCTACCTTTATATAACATTAATTCAATAAAACTAATTGATTCAATTTTTAAAATAACCTTCAAATTAAAATGTTTTAATTTAGTAATTCTTAATTTTTAAAATTGTTTTAACTGTTTGATAAATCTTTAAATTTAATTTTATAAAAATATATAATTTCATTAAAACATTCTTACATACCTGTTCTTTCCTCTATTTGAAACATTCCAGAAACTGTCCCCCCACCAACAAATCCAAAATATATATTATCACCATCTTTATCACTTGCTACCACTGTAGTCACTAGTGTATCTGGCCCAGCATTTTCATCCACATTTGGAGTATAAACATCTTGACTAAATTTAGGAGGTTCGTCATTTTTATTTTCAGTATATATTCGAATAGTTGCTGTACCAGTTAATGGTGGATCTCCTCGATCAGTAGCTCTCACTGTTAATACATATGTATTATTGATATCTGCATCCAGTCTTTTATTAGAATATATAATTCCCCTATTATCAATAGTAAAATCATCTTTGTCTACAGAATATTCAATTTCAGCATTTTTTCCTTGATCCATATCACTGGCAGAAACTGGAATAAAAATAAATCAATTTTACATAGAATATTGATATACACAATACTTGAATATAGAATTACTTGTGCACTTAAATATCTACAACCCTATCTTATAAAATATTCTCATAACTTATCCATATGAATAATTTTTCCTTCTGTATTACATGGAGAAAAAATATTACATATGTTTACCTTGAATTCCTTTGAGTACTCTTTTATGCATGAGAATATATAAATACTAAAGAACAAAATACAATATCACCAATAGTAATTTATTCAACTGTAAATATTATAATATAGAAACAGGTAATGATTGTTAAATGAATTATACATATATTGACAAATTATTATTATTAATCTTTAATTTAATAGAAGAGTTAATTACCTTGGAGTATAGATGTTCCAATTGGTACATCTTCATCCACATTATGAGCCTGATAATCAGGTAATTCAAATCTGGGAGCATTGTCATTAACATCAGTTACTTTGATTGTCAACTATACAAAATAAATAAATAATCATATATTTTGAAATAAAAAAAAAATGAAATGACTGAATTATAAAATATTATTTTTGAAATAGTGCAGATTTAAAATTACTTTCTTCTATTCCCCTAATTTTTTTTTATAATTTCTTTGTCATTTTGGTTCATTTAAAAGCAGGTCTTTTATCATAAATCATAATGGATTACATTTCAGATTCTTATAAAGATGAGAAACCATAAGTGATATAATAACTCATTTTATTTTATTAGTAATCATTCATTTCTTTCTTCCATATCTTGTTAAAGCCATTATTTTATGACTTTTCTTTTCAAACAATTAATTCAATAAATGGTTACTCCCAAAAAAAATTTATTCTTCATACATAAACATTAAATTATCTTGAGACTCAAGTCAAAGTTTATAGCTATAGGTTCATTGAACAATAATTAAAGTAGTACTGATGAAAAAAGAATTCTTTATTACCCTTCGGTTTCAAAAAAAAAGAAAGATGTATTACATTACATTTTATGTTTATCTGATATGGTTCAAGCATACCAAATGTTATATAATTACATTTTCAGGTTTGTTGTTTTCAAACATTGATTACCAAACAAATTATGTGAACTATTTACTAAATATTATTAGATTAAATTTTAATATGAAAAATGTTATTATATTTTTAAAACTTGCTATTTTCACTTTTTTAATATATTATAAATGCAAATTCCTCCATATCAAAAAGCAAATATTTTAGAAAATTATCTTTATTTACATTAATAATGTAAATAATAAAATAGAATAATTTAATTTACTACATACAACATTTATTATTATTAAAAAATTCAATTGTAATATATATNTTTTATTTTATATAAAAATATATATGTATACAGTATTTATTTTATATTTTTATATGTTGCAATTTAAAAAAAATTATAGATATATTATAAAGATATCATTGACTATTTTGATAAGTGATAAAACATTCACACCAAAGTAACACTTCAACATACTTGTAATGCAAAAATATTTTTGCAAAACTTTAATTTCATGAAAAAATCATATATATATTATATACAGGGCTGGATCATCGCAAAGACAAATGAGACAAATGTCTAGGCCTGGTATTTAGAAGGGCCCGGTCAAACTGTCTATTTTGAAAAACTAAAATTTATTGTTTATATTACATATTTTATTAATAAAAATTTAAGATTTGTTTTAGTTTTTCATATTATTTAGTTTTATTTTATTTATTGTTTTATGTTTTTTGTGTACTCTATTTCTTGTGGGAGAGAGAAGGAGCCCGGCAAGGCCCCAAAGTGGGTTAATCTAGGGCCAAAGTCTAGGGCCCCAAAGTGGGTTAATCCGGCCCTGATTATATATCTTCACAGAACATTTCTAATCTATTGTTATATCATACCGGTTTTTAAAAAATTCATTTATGAAGGTTAACATTATATATAATTTTTAAACGTATTATTTTCTTTGATTTTTAATATATAAAAATATTAAAATTTTTCTTGAAAATTTCTTTTAAAAGTTCCAATAATCATAGGATTACAACTAACTACAGATGTATTCATTGAATCAAAGAGATAACTACTATACAGAATAAAAGATTTTGAGAGTTTTTAATACATGCTATAAATATTTGAAATAAAATTAAGAATTTATAATATTTTGCTTTAAAGAAAAAAAACAAAAACATGATATATGTTTATATCATGTTTTTGTTTAAATAGTATAAACAGTTTAATTTTAGCTGGGCTATATCCATATATGAGGCAGAGCACAACTGCCTTAGGTGCCAAGTTGGAAAGTATACTAAAAAGGTGTCATAATGTTTATAGAAATATAAGTACATGGTATGTAGGCTTCTCAGTTGCCAGAATTATTTGGTATGGTCCTGAATTTTAGAATACATATCTTCATTATTTTATTTTAAGAATGATAAAACTTAGATTTTAAATATATACAATATATTATGTACAGTGGAACCTCTCCATAACACTTGTGGGACCAAAAAAACCATTTGCTATAGAGAGATGTCCACCCACAAAAAGTTTTGTGAAAATTACCTTTACATGAAATATCCTGTAAATGTACTATTTTTATTTAGGAGCATATAATATACATACCATGTAAAAAATGGTAAGACAGTATATAACAGTAAGCAATGAATTATAAAAGGGCCAGTATTATTATTTTTTAATTTTGCTTTATTGGTTTGTTTCTACAATTGATTGCAGCAATTTACTTCTCACTATACATAATTAAATTTTGTGCTAACTCTGTACCATGTGTGTTTTCTACTGATGTAAAACTGCTTGAGTTTGTTCACATAGTCCAGGGTCTATCTATTGGTGTATATATAGTAAATGTCATTTTGGCTGTCATTGCCATCATTGTGATCATCATTATCATCTTTATTCTCCCCTCTTGAATTTCAAAATAACTGAAAGATTATTTTTGTATCTTGGCTTGTGCACTCAGTTGGCATGTCAGAATCTATGTTGATGTAATGATGTGCCATGGTTTTAAGTGATGATAAATTCTGTTGTATGTATGACAGTACATGACAACTCAGAAATATCAACTTGGTGACTCAGCAACAAAAATTATTTTGAAGTATATATGGAAGACCTTTAATCCAAAATTGAGAGTAAAGATATAGAATTTTTCAGATAGCTTTCAGACACTATTAGCATTATATCTTTCTTTATCAATGATAATTTCAATCACATTTATAAAACAAATTTTATTAATTTATCAAATTATAACTAAAAATAATAACTAGTATTGCATTAAACATTTGCACTAATATTTTATATAATCATTGCAAATTCTATGCTTGATGTGGACTAGATATAAAGTGGGAAAAGTAATAAGTATCCATGTTTTCTGACATTAATTTTCTGCCTTAATTAAGTATAGATATCTACTTTGGAATGTTTAAAACCATCAGTATGTATATATTTTTAATTTCTCAAAATTTTAAGTTTTATAAATAGAATAAACTCAGCTAATATGGACCAGACTTTCTTTCCTCTGTACTGATTCACCTGCCATCTTTTGGAGAGCAATAGCATGACATATACTTTCATCCCCCTTTCCCCTGTATACTGTAAATGAATGCCACTCAATGAGAACATGGATGAGAGGCTTGATGTTTTTCGTGCCATTGAACTCTTGTTGGTTGTTGATACTGCAGCCCATATAACTGCTGAATGGATAAGTTGCCAAAGATCATAATTTTTTGGTTATTTGCTGTGCTGTTGTTCTTGATTATCCATGCAGTGTCAAAATTACATCTGCTGTTTGATTGGTGCTAAGAATTGGTATTAGAGTCTCAAGCTAGTGCAGGCAATATGGATCTTGGTGGGTATTATCAACAAGTTTTGCACTGCTGTAGTCCATATTACTAGACATGCTTGTGGTATTTCTTTTATTGTTTTTCGATTATTTCTTTCAAAACCAGAAGGAAAGAATAGTGCAACTCTAGTTATTCTGCCTCTACCTGGCTGGTGAGGAATGGATCAGTGTCAAAAGTACCAGTATTGGACACATCTTTGAAATATGTGCTGGTGCAGAAGGAAGAATCTATGAATTTTGTACAAAATAATTTTCTATCTGTTTCTAGAAGTGTCCTTGTAATATGAATTACGTACAGGTAATATGGACCACAGTGGTTCATATTATTACCTGTACCTGTACTGTACATATATACCTTCACTTTTAAGTTTTTTGACATTATGGCTTTTTATGCTGAAACTAATGTAGATTAATAAAGATGCTCTTGTGATATCACTGGGTATCAGCTTTTGCACTTTGCATCATAATGTTAGTTCAATTGTAGTTTGATCTATTACATCTAGGTAACCTAGAAGTAATAGAAAAAAGACACCATAGTGGGCCATATTAGCTGCATTTACTCTATATTCAAACAGAAAAAGTATAATTAATAAATTTTTTTGTTTTATATGCATGATGTCTTCCAATTAAATTTCAGATATTAAAAAAATAAAATTGCAAAATAAAAATTTGGAAAGACTACAAATTTTTAATTTTAAAAAATTAAGAAATCTTCCAAAATAACAAATATTAGCCTACTATATTAATTAGTAATGAAATGCAATAATTTCATAAATATCTTAGGTTAAATATCTTAAATTACAAGAAAATTCTAATTATTCATGAAAAAATTTTTCATAAACATTTTAAATTATAATTTTTGTCACTGAATTCAACCATCACTGAATTCACTATGTCCAATTCATGACACTGTGTTGTCTCTATCATTCACTATGGCTGCTACAAAACTAAGTATTCTCATTGCCAGAAAAAAATCCAGCTTTAAAGAAATAACTCTTGATTGTTGATAGCAAAAATCTGTCTCCAAACACTTAAAATCCATGAAATGGCTTGGAAGACATTGAATTGTTTTGTTAGTATTTCAAGCATCATTTAAAATGCTGACCAACTCAAACAGGTCATTTGTGACTAAACCAGAATAAAGAATAAGGTCAGTAGTTTACATGAAGATATATCTTGCTTATGACATATTCAACTAATAAATGCAATTCTCTATTGTTGATTGGCTATTTTAAAAAATTTCAGTTCATCATCAGTAATATGAGAATATGAAATGAGAAAGAAGGTGAAAAGTGCACAGGATGAGTTATGACAATTGTGGAACTGAGTGAATGTTCACAGAAGTGTATTTGACCTCATCAGTGTAATATACATTAGTGCATTGAAAAATGTTTCTTCTAATTAGTCATAAGGTGCTCATGCTTCTTTGCAGATTAATGTGAACAAAGACACTAAGCAAACTCCTACAACAGCAAGTTAGCCAACATAGAAATTTTACTGTCATAATAAAACTGTGCAATTAAATTGATTTTAAGAACTAAACAGGGAATACAGTATTGAGTTTTTGGAACTATTGAACTGTATCCACAGAAATACCAAACAAAGAAGTCAACTCAATGAGAATCTACTGTGTCTATTAAGACAAGTCAAGACATTAACCATGGTGCATTTCATGTATCTGATCTGTAATGAAGTATCCACTTAAGAGAGATAAGTTGTAAATACAAAGTTACAACTTACTTTTTTATACTGGACCACAAAAATTGTCTATTATGGAGGGGTGTTTCTTTAGAAAGGTGTCTGATAAGCAAGGTTTCACTGTATATATATATATATATATATATATATCACAAAAGAATACAGTGGATTAGGCAAAGAACCAAGGTAACTGATGTGATCCACAGAAGTCCATGAGAATCACAATGTGGTATCCGCAGGGAATCAAGAGATCCAAAGGATGTTCATACTTAAGATGGGACTATGATATAAGGAAACAAGCAAGCACAACACGGTGGAGGGAAGCAAATGATAGACAAACATGGACATAAATGATGGACGATTATGTAAGGGAAGCTATACCATAATTTGAAATGGTAAAATAAGAGCTGAAGCTGATGATGATGATGATGATGATGATACAGGGTGTCTCAGTTAAACATTTCAGAACTTCTAAGAGGGATAATGTGCATCCTAACGACTCAGAATCATATAACAATGCAGGATCAGAAATGCTTTTCTGAAGTGGTGATGTACACAGAAACAGCTAACCTCCGCTGCAGATTTGCAAAGAAATTATGGCTGGGAATATGCCTCATTGGATATTGTTCTACAAACAAGCACTGTACAGCTGGCCCACTACAATCTGCAGGCCCATACACCAAATGCATATCGACTAACTCTGCATCATTGTGCAAAATGACGATTCCCTGCAAGAATGCTTAGAACCTATGTGCAATGTCATCTACCGCATCAGGAAAGCATTTCCGATTCCACATTGCTATATGATTCTGAGTTATCGGAATGAGTCACCCTACCCCTCTTAGAAGTTCTGAAATGTTTAACTGAGACACCATGTATATATATATAGGGTGTTCTGCAAGATAGTGGACATTTTTTACAGCATGTTCTAAAGGCCTAGGGGATCCAAAAATGTCTATATAAACATAGTTTTTCAAATGCATTAATTCAATGCTAGATGAGGTTAAAGCTCAGATAGCTATCTCTTAAGATGCTACTCTGCAGCACTGCTAAGCACTGTGGGAAAGCTTCAGTCTTATTGACCTTCAGCTTCTGTACTGTTCTAAAAAGCCAAGAAATGCAAGAGAACCTTATGTTTTTGCATCTTACATGCAAAAACTTTGTAGGTGTCATAATTAAAAAAAATCATAGATAAATTATATTATCAAATATTTACTACTAGGGATTAAGTTTGTTGTTAATTCCCCTACTTAAACTATTTATACTTTTTGCAGTTTAAAAACTTTTCAACTCTGGATTAAATGGAAGTAAAACCAGAATGTAATTTGGTATTTTAAGTTATGATATGATGACAATTTTTATATATTTTTATAAAGTTTCATAAAATCTCTAAAAATTGCTAAATACTACATATAGTATATAAAATATGAAATTTATATACTTCATTTATTTATATATTTTTGAAAAGTAGATGTTTTTCATTTTAAAAATTATATTCTTATTTCTTACCAACAAAGTTTAAGTGCAAATAGTTATTTAATGATAGTTGAGAATTCCTTATTACTGTATATATCAGTATAAATATACTTACTTCAACGGAAGTTGAAAACCCTCCAGAATCTTCTGTTGCTGTCACAATAAGTGAGTATGATTTAGGTTGTCGCATATCCTCATAATCTAATTCCTTTGCAAGTTTTACTACTCCAGTTGTTGGTCCAATGTTAAAAGTACCAGCTCCTTTTCCTTGTGCTCTTAGAGTATATCTAATCTCTCTGTCTGCAAAGGATTTGGCTTTGACTTCAATTATGCTGTAAATAAAAATCTTTATTATAATTTCAACAATGTTATTATTTATTAAAGCTAAAACTTCATCATTAAAGCTAAACTAATAAGTAGTAATGTAATGATGTTGCCACATTATTAGATATTTCTCTCAAAAAATAAGATAACTGATAATGAGATATATTCTGAATAATTCATTAATCACAGTTATCAAAAAATACATGACAAGAGGACAGGTAATTTGTGAGCTGTCAGAATTTATCTGTTCATTCTATCATTTAAATAAATACTATGTCAATGTAAAGAAAGATTTCCCTCTATGATATTTATCTATAAAATAGACGCTTCTGCACAATTTTCAACTGATGTTTCATTTAAGATTATGTTATGCATTACTATATGCATTAACAAAAAGTTGACAAGTAACATGATCATTTCTAAATAAGATAATCAATCAAATATAAGCAATCAATCAAAAATTTCTTTATTCACATTTCAATAACATAACAGAATAGAAATTTTCTTCATAGATTATTGAAAAATGTCATTTTTGAATAAATATTAATCATATAGGTTAGATATTCAATATATTCAAAACTATTAAATTTACAAAAAGAAAAAAAAAATTATTTGCAATTAAACTTTAAGTTATGAAAAAGATTAGATTTTTAGTTGTACATTCAAATATAGAATATACCACTTTTCCAGATATTTTATGAAAAACACATTGATTTTTGTATTGTTATTTTGCATTTAAGAGTCTTTTAAAAAGCTTGTAAATTATAAATCAATAGTAATTTTTACTTACTCAGAATCTTTTTTTTGATTTTCTGGAATAGTTGCTTCATATTTTGACATATAAAACTGTGGAGGTCTTTTTCCACCCATAATTGATAATCGCTTTTCTCCAGTAGTCTGATAGTGTCCTCTTTCACTAGTAATACCATTATGATCTTCTGATTTCACATATAAAACATATTCTTTATCTAACATAAAAGGATCACTCCCAAGTGTGCGCACTTCTCCTGACCTCTCATCAACTTCAAATCTTCCACCAGCTGTGATATAAACAATATGGAAAAAATCAGTAAAGTAAATAATAATGTTAATAATGAAAGTTTTAATTTCAATCAATTTGTTTTTTAAAAAGTTTATAAGAATATTTAGATTATTTATTATTATTTAAAAATTATTTGAAATATTTAAAAATACTCTTACTTTTAGAAATTTTTTTACTTCTAGAAATTTTTCAATTAACTTAACCATAATTTAGTTAAAAATTTTAAACTTGCAATCTCTATAGACCTACTGTTTTATCACTTCAAATATCATTAAAACCCAGTTGAAAATATTTAATTGAATAATTTAAAAGTAATTTTTTATAATATAAATTGAGTTGTTTTTATTTTATTATACTCACTTTATGAAAATTACAAATTGTTTTTAATTATGGTGTAATGAAAATGCATCATATTTTTAATTTAATAACTTTTACTTTAATTTATTTTAAATATTGCTAATAAATATTCTCATTATTCAAATAAATGTATAGTAATGGAAATTATAAGGTAAATACTTATTTGAGAAAACTAATTTATATTATCATACATGAGAAAACTTTATCTTATTTATATACTGTATTGTTTAAATAATAAATATATGCAGATAAATTTCAATGAAAGTAATAATCTATTGCATGTATCATGGCAAAACTTGTTTATCAGATTAATAATATTCCTGTTAAAATGATGATAAATGACAAACAAATTGAGAAAATTTATATGTACTTCTAAGAATGATGTGTAAACATATAAAACAGACAAAACAGATACTTGAGTTTCAAATTATATCTAATAAAGGATAGATAGATTTTTCACATAAACTATACATAATTAAATTTACTAAACAATATTAAAATAATTTAATTTGAAAATTATTTTTATTTTTATATTTCAATAAATTTACTGAATTTTTGGAATAATTTTAAAATTTATAGACTTGGAATTTTCATTACATGATTATTTGAATTTCCCATATGCTAAATAAGAGGAAGAAAGCATTAATAAAATGTACTGACATTTTCTAAAATTGTTTTAACTACAGTCTGGATCATATATCAAAAGTGCAACATGTTATTTACTGTCAGAACATCTTATGAAAACAGCCCATCTACCATAATTATATTGTTGAATCTACAAAATTTCCCAAGAGAACTAATTATACAACTTAATTCTTCCAATTTTTCTATTCAAAAGCTTTAATTCTTAAACTAATTTTGACAGTTATGGATAATTTTATAGATAATCAGCCCAACAACATTATCCAGAAATCTTTCATTATAACTTTATACATGAAACAATAACATTTTCACTTTCAAATTTCTCTTGAAATTGTTTATTTTTCACTTATAATAAACTTTCTGTAACTTAACTGACATTGGATGCAGTTATTTAATATTAAAATGATAGATTTTTTTCAACTAATAAAAGAGCTTGATAAATATTATATATATGTCCAATATTCTGTAATTTGCAATATAAGTTAAAAGTAAAAAGTTATGCATTGTTAGTAGAAGTACTAGATTAGTTATAGCAGAATATTGGTATATTTAGTATAAAAATAAGAACGAGTGGTTATTTATTATTAGATATATGATAAAATCTTTCAATAATAATTTCATTCATTGTTTTGTACTGTACTGTAAATGTTTACTTTATGTATATGAGATTGAAAAATTATATTTGAAGAATATAATTAACAGGAGTCAAAATGATTTAATCAAATGAATATTAAGAAAAAGTTCAAGAAGCTTTTCATTCCACAAAATAACATAAGAAATTTCATAAAATATTTTCTAATAACATATACAACAATACCAATTCAATATTTGTAAATGATCCACTGGATTATTTATCAGGCTACATTAAGGCTATTTTAAAAATTAATTGCTATACATCTGATTATTAAAATACTCTTAATATAGCCTGATGAATAATCTGGTAGATCATTTGACAATAAAATATTTTCTTTTGAAATGAAATTGAAATTATAAAACCAAATTGTATTATTGACTTGACAGTTTTTCAATACATTCCTTGAGAATTGCCAAATTTTAAAATAGAAAATTTGATTGAAAATATTTAATACTTATGCTTAATTTATCATATTTACATACAAATAAACAAACATGATGAGATGCATTTAACACTAGCATTTCTTTTTTCACTTAATTCATAACATAAAGAAATAGCAAATTTTTCAAATACAATTAATTAATTAAAACTATATAAAAAATGATTTTCCATGAATAAGTTCCAGGAATTATCAAATTATATTTATTTCAAAATGATGATCATTTCTAAATAAGATAATCAATCAAATATAAGCAATCAATCAAAAATTTCTTTATTCACATTTCAATAACATAACAGAATAGAAATTTTCTTCATAGATTATTGAAAAATGTCATTTTTGAATAAATATTAATCATATAGGTTAGATATTCAATATATTCAAAACTATTAAATTTACAAAAAGAAAAAAAAAATTATTTGCAATTAAACTTTAAGTTATGAAAAAGATTAGATTTTTAGTTGTACATTCAAATATAGAATATACCACTTTTCCAGATATTTTATGAAAAACACATTGATTTTTGTATTGTTATTTTGCATTTAAGAGTCTTTTAAAAAGCTTGTAAATTATAAATCAATAGTAATTTTTACTTACTCAGAATCTTTTTTTTGATTTTCTGGAATAGTTGCTTCATATTTTGACATATAAAACTGTGGAGGTCTTTCTCCACCCATAATTGATAATCGCTTTTCTCCAGTAGTCTGATAGTGTCCTNTTTTTTTTTTTTTAAATTTATTAATAACTGAATAACAATTGTTTATAGGATGCTAATTAACTAGTAGTTTATAACTGAAATTAATGTTTAAGTTTGAAACCTAATGATAAATAGTTTATTAATAAAGATTAAGATATAGCATAGAATTAATAATAATTATGTATTAATAGAAATTTATTATATGAATGTTATTACACTAGCAAGCATTTAAAATATAGGATTTGTTATAATAATAAAAATAATAAATACTTCATTTTTGTATGTTTAAAACTATGATTAATTGTTAAATAATAAAAAATGTGAGACAAATAAATTGTAAAAGAACATAAATCTATAAACTTGCAGCTATAAAAATTTGATTTTTAGTCTCAGCTTATGCCTAAGGCTAGGACTGAAGAGAATGATTTATAATGCAAGAATGTGTTGAATAATTTTTTAAAACAGTGTAAGATTTTATTGATTTTAATTTAAAACTTATCTAGTTTTGAAAAATTTTTATGCTTTATATATATAACATCAGTATACATAAAAAGTTAATGATAAAGAAAATTGAATTTCAGACTGTTTTGTAAATAATTTATATACTTTCAATTAGAATACTGTTTACTTATAGTTTTTAAAAATCTAGAAAAGTTGAAGATAAAGACTGAATAAATAAAATATGTTTAAAACATCTGTTAGAAAGTTTTATAAATTTAGCTAATTGCAACCAATTGTTAGTCATTAATCAATACTGTGAATGAAAAATAATCTAATACCAAACATGACTGGACAGAAATTTCAGCTAAGTGATATATTTGACAGCATAATGAAGCATACATGATAAGTATGCAAATTGTCCTAATAGCCATTAATCACTTTCAATATGCTGAATATACATTAGATAACACCTGAAAATTGATATGAAAGCTATGTAAGACATTTAAACTCAATAATGACAATATAAGAGAGTCTTTTATACTGGTTAATTTCAAAGATAAACATGGTTATTGAATTTGAATGTGAAGAAAATATTTTAGTTAAGCAGATATTATAGATTGCAAATAACATAATTTATAAAAACCAATTTTAAACTTTTAGTAGATATTCAGAGTAAATAAATGTAATGATTAACATATTTATTCTATTGTAATAAATTGTGCATTCCAGACACACTTTTGGAAATTGATTTTATAAATTTTTAAATTTATTTTATATTCTCTATTTACATACATTTATTAGTGATTCATCTTATACTTTTTTAATATTTTCAAATTTAGCATTTCTGTTTATTCAAAAATTATAATGATATTTTTATTTAAAAATTTTTCCATCACTATTTTTTTTAATTATCAAAGATTTAAAATTTAGCATTATATTACTTTGAATATTATAACTTTTTAATGACTATTTTGACTTCATGAATAATTATAGATGAACAATCAAATAAAATTGACAACCAGATAAAATAATTGATTTCTAATAATCTCAGAATAATTCCGATATCTTTTTTATATTATTTGCTTTAAATCATTTATGATATTTAATTTAAATAAGTTGCTAATGCAAACTTATAATTATAAATTTATGTAAACAAACAAAGTTTATCTACATAAAATTTAAATTTTAGTTTACATTTGTTAGGATAAAATTAATTATAAATATTGTTAAACATTGTTTATTAAATAGTTTTTAAAGCAAGATAAAATATACTGTTTATAATTTAGAAATTAAGTAATTTAATAAGGAATCAATTTTATATAATATTAGTTATCTTTAAAAAAATTAAGTAAAACATGATTCTTTTTTCTTTAAATTTTATATTTTAATTTAATATTCATTATGTAATAAACATAATTAATTTAAAATTTTTCAATTATTGTTAATTTAATGTTTTGAAAATTAGCTTTCTTATTTACCTTAATATATAAATTTTAATTAATTTAGTTACTTACATCTACATTTACTTTTATTTTGTAGATTTAATTATACACAATTATACAAATGATCCAAATTAACAAATTGAAAGATGAATGAAGTTTAATAAAATATTTAAGTTTACAATAATAAATGAATAATTATTTTATCTAATTTCAGAGATTAATCATAGCATCATAAATTGATTAGAAAAATTTTTAAATCACTTTTATAGCACTTATATTTGTACTAAAAATATTTTCTGGATATAACAAGTGGAAATAATTATGCAGATTACAATACTAAAATAGCAAATTTATTCTAAATTTAAGGAAAAATAAATAACTTGATTTTGTTTAGTTGATTATTATTCAAGAAGTAATAGCAAAATTCAAGTTATACAGGATCCAGTTTGCATAGTTATATCTACAATGTTTATAAGTTTGATTTTTGGACTCCTTAGTTAATTTAAGATTTGAAGATTAATATAAATTTTTGAAAAGATCTTTGACAATATCAAAATTTACTTATGTACTACATATATGTTATGTATATTTAATTCATTAACATCATTTTAAAAAATGCTAATCAACTATAACATATCCCTCAATACTAATCTATGAATAAATCACTTAAATCAATTATTTCAATTTGATTATATTTATCTAAATATTACTTTCAACTAAAATGATCTCTTGGAAATCAAAATTTTTTATATAGACAATTTATATACAAATAAGCTATGTTATTATTTGTATATGCATTTGACAGTTCTTTGTTTACCTTTATATCTACCAGTATATAAAAGATTTGTTACTTTAAAAAATTTAATAATAATCACTTAGGAAACTTAATGGTGTTAATTTACTAAGAAAATTACACTGAATAAACCATTTGAACAGTTTCAACATAAAAAAAAGTCTTTGCCAAGAAATGATTTTATGTAAGGAGAATATTTAGAATAGATTCTATTTAAATTTTCACATGTCAAGTAAAAATTAAAACAACAACCAATTAGCCTCTTTTTTTATATGTTCTCTCTTCATTAGATACTGTTCGTTTCTTTTTATCCTTTATGAGCCAAACACGTTGAGATTACCTTACTTCACTTGCATTGTAAAAAGAAAACTGGTTGTTGACTTAATCTTACTTGTAAAATTTTGGTTTTCAGTAATCCTTTCCTGGCAGACATTTTCATATATGTTGAAACTGTTTGAGTAGTTTATTTACTGTGTTTTTTTCTTAGTAAATTAACACTATTAAACTGAGTTTAACTGATTGTCTTTATATTGGTATACACCATTATTAATTTGCATTTTAAATTTGAGAAGTCAAATGTAAACAATATTATGCCATATAGTAATTCTTTTAATAAACTTTTAATGATATTATAAATAAAAGTAAACAACAATTACAATTAACTTTATTTAACTGTATTCTTTATATGAATAAAAGTTAATGATGTCCAATTTGCAATTAATTATTTAATTCTATTTTAATTAAAATGATCTTAAATGTTTCATTAATTTGGAGTATTTATCAATACAGTACTTCAACAATATGAGCAAAACTCAAGTTATATATTATAATTTCTATTCTTTATATTTTAAAATTATAAATTCCTATGGATTTAAAACAAATATTTTAAAATCAAACTAACTATACATAAAATTGAGTAAATATATTTTTTAATTTAAGTTGAATTAACTTATTACATAACTCAATCAATATAAATAAATATTTTTACTATAACAATTTCTGTAAATAGATGTGATATAATTTGTTATATGTCAATTATGTAATATCATTAATAAAATAGGATAATAAATAATTGTTAATAAAATTCAATGCATATCGAAAAATATTTGTAATTACAATGAATAACACTATCCTTTTATTTTACAATAATCTAAGTGTAAAATATGAGAATAAAATTTACATACTAAGATTGAACAAACTAGTGATTTTGTATCAAATAAAAACTGGGATTATCTAAATAGCAATGTGAAAAATATAAGTATATTAAATATTTCAAAGGATGTTTCAGGTTGAATTGTCTATATAAATAGAATATTTATTTTTTGTGTATGTTATTCTTTTTTTACCATCCTTTATTCTAAGTGTTTTCCTTTTTATTTTTTTTCATTTTTCCTGTACACTTATTTGGTAACAGCATTAATTTTATCTTTAATACAGTATTATAAAATGTTTAGTTATAGTAAAATTATTTTTGTAAAAGAATTTGAATAAAAATATAAAATAAATAAAATGGAACTCCTTAAATATAAAGTAATAAAGTTTAATAATAATTTTCAGATAATAATTTTCAAAATTAATTATCATAGACTTACAAATTAGTATTAATAATAATTAATATTAAGTAAAATATATTATAGGATACAAATTATATTTGATAAAAATTTGTAATAATATACAGCACAACAGCTAAATTTTTTATCAATAAATTCAGAAGATTTTTGCCAATTAATCAGTTCAATCATATGTTTTATATAATGAAGAAATTTAACTAAAAAATACATAGTTATTTAAAATTCAATTAATTTTAAGCAAAAATAAATTTTCAAATTAGACTAAATACATAAAATTTATCATTAAATTTTTTTGCAACTTTTATATTCTTATTTGATTAAGAGAACATTGTATATGTTCTAATATTTAAATTGCTAGTAATTTCATNTATATATATATATATACAGTATACTTCTAGATATTTATAAAACATGTTGAGATTCATTAAAATTTCTACTTAAAAAGTTTAATTTAAATATAATTTCAAAATACTAAAATTTTAAGTGCAGAAATAATTTAATAATTTTTAAATATGCAATGTGCTATGATTCAAATTTTAAGCTCTTTATATACTGAAAGTTTTTGTACCATTTTTTAAGATTTATTGCATGTTTTTTAATCATAAATATTTTCTATTGTGCTGAAATATTTAAAGAAAATAATTCAATGCTATTCTGTGTATTGAAAATAAAAATGTATTACTTCCTTTCATAAAATGAATTTTTTTCTATGTAAACAACACACTATAATTAACACTTACTTCTATCTCGTACAAGAAAATAATGTATATTGTGATCAGTGTCTGGATCTCTTGCTTGTAACTTAAATACAGGCGTTCCTGGCAGTGCATTAAGTTGAACAACTGCCTGCATTGGTAATGGTCTGTTGATGAAATATGGAGGTTCATCGTTGACATCCTTGATATGAATTATAATACGCTGTCTCTCAGGATCTGAAATGAGAATTTAATCATTTGATTTATGCACCAATATATTTATATATATGCCATTAATATTTCACATTCAGATATTATTATTTATTATCAAATATTTGAAAAAGTTTTTAAAAATATATTTTTTTAAATAAAAAAAATGCAATGCAAATATTATTAATATTTTAAAGTACAGTATCTATTTTTCTTCCTAATTTTGTTTAAATATAAAAACTCTAGTTGTATAATAAAAATGAAAATTAAATACATTAAAAATGAATATTTAACTTCATAATTGAATTGATAAAATATCAAAAATATATCTTTCATATGCTTATGTCTTTAGAGATAATAATATAGTATCTTTCTAGATAAATTTGGTTTCTGAGAGCTTTATACTCAATTTATAAACTGCATCATTTTCTTAAATTTGGTAATTCTTGAGAATGATAAGAGTAAATTAATTAAATGTTTAAACATAAAAAAAATTGTTTACAGTTAATAAAGGGAAAAAAAAGAAGGCTGATAAGAATCAAACATTCATTTTACACTGAATGAAACAATCTAATGTTAAGTGCTTGCAGTTAATGTAGTCATTAGTCTATTTGACTTCACAGTTAAAAAACACAGAAGTAAAGTGAACATATTCAATCTGTTTGGTTGAAGTACCCAATTTCCATCATCCTAAGCAATTGATTTTTGTTAACAAAGTGAAAAGTAATGTAATTATTTCATTTAACAACACATAGCTTTAACAGATTTCCTTACCCCTAATTTTAAATTAGAAATATGTGTTAAAATTGATAATTATTTACCTCCACAAAAAATTGTTTTTAAAAAATAAAATATTTATCTTTAAAAAGTATTTGTCTTATGTAACTAGTGGTTTTCAGTGATTCTCAACAAGCATTAAGTCAGGAAACACCCTAAGGGATTCATAATATACTTGTCAATTGGAGCAGTGATCTCTTAATGTTGGCTTGACTTCTCCTAATATGAGTTTTGTAACTTTCTTTATTATTTTGTTTTCTTTTGAAGTATCACAGGTAAAACAAAGTTTTTGGTAAAGTAGTGTTTTCTTTATCATTACGTTAGAAAAGAAGTGTCAATAATTTTTTTACATTATACAAGATAAAAGAAAACTTTTTAAAAGAATCGTTCATTGTCATTACAAGAGTTTTGTCTACTCTCGTTGGGACAGTTTCTGTCACGATTTATTATAACGAATTCTCAGAGACTTAAGTATCGAACCAGTAACTAATATTCCCAAGACATGTAAAACGAACATAAATCTCTAAAGGAACATTAAACAAACGAAACGATTCTGATTTTCCCAAACAAAATTAACAATTTAAAAAGTATGATTTATGTACTGTACAGTACTACTGTACCGAGAACGGTACTCCGTTTTTAATCATTTCAAACTTATTTTCATCAATATTGATATGGGAAACAGTCTCAAAATAAAAAAATATATATAGTAAAAATCTGCTCTAAAAGCTTAATAACAGTATTATCAAGTTACTTATTTTAAAATAATTATTGTATTATCCATTTAATTTTGTTATTTATTAAATATGAATTTAAATTTATTTATTTTTTTTAAATTAAAATTTATTATTCTTTGGATAGAACTTTAAGAGTGTTTACAAAGATAAGTTTATGACATTTATAAAATTTTAAAGATATTTATATTCGTAAAAGTGAGTGCTGCTAAAAGCACCCAAAATTTAAGTCTAACCTCTTAATAGGGTCACAGTGCATTGAAGTTATAAAAGTTCCTTTTAATTCCTATGTATATTGTTAACTTCTCCTGTGCATAATTTATCTAGTTAAACATTCAATCAAATAGATCATTAGATTTGAAGGGCCTGTTTATCTTTATTAGAAACTATTAAAATATTCAGTTGATTGATTTCGTACTCTTTAACAAGTGAGAACAGGTCATATATTATTAAAACCCCGGAAAGAAAAGTTTGCAGAGCAAAAATTTGGATCGATATAATGTACTCTAATGCAACATCGACTTAGTTAAATTACAATCCTAATAGAGCTCTAAAGCATTAAATTGCGTAGTTCTTGATTAAACAGAGTTAGAAAAACGTTTTATTATTATTTTTTCTTTCCTCCTCTTCAAGAATTTTATTTATGACAAAATTTGAGTTTTTTAATTTGCGTAATTTGAGAAAAATTAAATAATGCATATTAAGATCTCAGGTTAATTATATAACTTCATAAAAAGTTTTTAAGTGCATTTTTGACTTCAATATATGTATATAAATATGAAATAGAATTTAAAGCATAAAAATGTGCAAAAAGTGAAAGTAAAGTAATATTTTAACATAATATTAATAAAAATTGTCTTATTTCGTTATATTATCTTCAAAAGATTAAGCCTGCAGTTTTAAAATGGCCAATTCATTTATGAAGTCAGTTATAAATTATAAATTAAAAATTACCGTGATATTTTATGTATTAAAAAAACGAACTCGGCCATTGTGAACAAGTGCCAGAGAGTTTCATTTTGTTTTAAATGAATGGTAATTTATTACAAAACGACGAAAAGCAAATTTTGTTATCAAAGGGATGCTAATAGCAAGACTAATAACCTGGTATTTAAAGTAGAATTATTAAATAATAAGTCATCTTGTCGAGATTTTGGAGCTGATTGGTCAAAAGCCTATTAAACCAAAAGTTATTAACATTTTTCGCTTATGAAAAGAAATTTTGATGGCATAAATGACAAAGTTTAGTTATAAAGGAGAGAAACGCGTTTATTATGACGAATGCTCTTTTTTTTCTTTCTTTTTCTTTCTTTCTCGTATAACTTGAAACCTCATAAAGTTAAAAGTGGGATACAGTTTAAACCAAAAAGTATTACCAACTTCCAACAACTTTAATAGTTTTAGCTATCACGTAGGACCTAGTTGCCATTTAATCCAGTGATTATTCACATATCACGATATTGCGTGACAGAAATTTCCGGAAGAATTCGCATTGCGAACTGTACTTTATTTTAATATTAATAATAGTCATTAAAAATATTATTCTATAAAAATTTACTATTGCCAAGTCAGAATTAAATCTAAGCGAATGCAAAAAAGACAAAACCTATCTAAACAAATCGATTGCATTATACTGTATATATCGTCCATGAATAATTAAACTACTGGAAAGCGAATATAAAATTAGTCATTACTTCAGTAAGTAACATTACATTGACTTGACGCATATCGGTTTTAAAAAATCGAAAACAAAAGATGAGGGGGAAAAATATAGATCCACGTGAAGCTGAATCAATTCCCACAATCTTGGTTCCCTCATAATCAATAGGGATTAAATGACGTCATCTTCCATTCCCTACGTTTACTAAAGTCGCCATTCTGGATTATATCTGCAGACAAGCAGTACATGGGATTAATGATTTATATCGTTTTGGTACGGCTGGAGAAACAAAATCCAAAATTTATTATGAAATATGTTACCGTTTAGCAAAATATTGCTAAATAAATTTTGCTATTTATCTCAATATAAAATCTCAAAAATAATTTTATTTTAACCAAAAACAAGCGTGTTTTTTTTACAAGAAATAACAACCTAACATTTCGAATTATCTCCTCGGGGTATAATGATATACAAATCTCGAATTTCTCCCTTTGGATTACACAGGAATTTCCTACAGTCAATCAATCAGTCATTCAAGAAGCTACAATTAATTACTCTACAGCGAGGAAGTTCTCATTGTCGAGAACGAAGGTTCTCAGAGCTTTTCAATTCAATCCAATCAATTCGCTAGTTAAATTATATATGCATACATTCCATTACAACAGAATAATTACGTATTTATTGCACAGGTAAGCCATATTATTGAAAATCAGTTTATTATATCGTGTAGATGAATTAAAAATATTTAGTTTATAACTACAGGAAAATCTGAAACATTGTTAAATTGCATTTTGCAATTTTTCTTTATTTACTATTCATAAAAGATGAAAATAAGTCTCTATTGTCTACGTACTTATTTATTAAATAGCATATTTTTACACTGTGGTGTATGAATATGAGAGTAGTCAGATATGATGTAGACTACCCAAATATGCATAACTACAATCAATAATTTTTCGTAGCAGAAAAGAGGACAATAGGTATAAATATAGAAAGTGTGTAAGCATTGTTCGTTTTAAGTAAATTCTAAATCGTTTTAAACACTGAAAGAATATATTGCACGGAAATGACAACGCAATACGGTAGAAGGATGCGAAGGAACGATGTAAAATTTCGTTAATTCTCCAATAAACTTCGATTGTGTAAGAAAGAAAAAAAGGCCAGATCGATATACTAGATATCTGTAAAGCATTCAGAGTGTTCTTTACAAAACGCGAATTTTAAAAGGCGAGCAAAATATGTTGGATCGATTCAAATGAAACTGCTGATCCTCACTTCCGGTACGCATGCGTATTAAATGACAGAAGACGAGTAAAAGTCCGGAATTAAATTCAGCAGATAAATTAGAAGAAAGCAAAAGCTGACGAAACAAATCGATGCAGAGTGTTGGCGAACAATCGACAATGACCGGTTTGATGATGGCATTTTTTATGAGGTTATTCTAAAAACCTTCACCCAACTGTCAACGTTCATTAGTAAATTCTTGAATAGTTTATACCATACCACAGAGGTTGGTATGTTTTTTCTAGTAAAAGACTGATCGTTTTTCTGGCAGATATTGAATAATGGACGACATTATTTCATAGATGGAGGCATTGTTTGGACTACCATTTACCGTAATACTATCTCGTCAGAGGACGTCATCGAAGTAAATGGAATAGCACACGAAACTCTGGATAATTCAGCGCTTTGTAGTTGCATCTTAATGCATTCTGACTGTAACAAAATTTCATCAGAATCTGCGCTTCATTATTTCACTTCTATTATCGATAAACTTTTGTCCGATTCAAAATGGCCGATCGATCGATATCCCAAAATAAAAGCAATATTATATAGAGCTTATATATATATATGAG